TTTATCTGCTTGGAATGCATAGGCTTTTTTTTGCAGTATTCACAGCTTTCTATACTGGTTAGGGACAAGTGTAACGAATTTTACTGGACGAAAGATGGTGAGAAACTACCTTGAAAAGGTTGGTATATAAAGATTTCATTGGCTGGTTAACGGTTTTCCTTGGCTGGTTAATGGTTTTCCTGAACCAACTTTATTTTCATCTTTTTATTGATCCTACCTACCCGGATGCTTATTTCAACAATGCACTTTTTCATTATGACTGTACTGATGTTGCAGTTCTTTTCTGACACAAAATATCTTTATATTTTTTTATTTTTTTGAAACAAATTTTTGTTGGTTTAGATTGATCCTGTGATAGCACGTAGTGAACGTCGCAAATCGTTGGTAGATGAATTTATTGCTGAAAATCTTCGACCAGACGGCTTATTCTTGATTCGTCTAATTCAAGCAAATTCCGGTGATCTAGTAACCTATGAACTGGTGCGAACACTTTGGAAGCGGTTCATGAGTACACGAATTGAGCCACCACCATATTCAGAGCCAACTTTATTGTCCAAAAAACCGTTGGCCGAAAGTGGCCTCTAAGATTGAAGAAAGGGAACTGCTGTTTTTTTTCCCACATCTATTATAAAATAGATTAATTATGTGTATCATTCTTTTTTTTTTCATGTGTGAGTGTATGCATGTGTGTAACAGAAGAAGAACAAGAGGAGTGAAAATGACAATAATAATTGTTGAAATTTCTAGTTTGTTAAATTGTTGCAAACACTGTCTACTATAAGGTGCGTAAACGACTGCCTAAACGGTTAAAATAATGCTTTAGTTCAAGACTTAGCGAAATTTAGAGAACAGAACGATGCATTTGTAGACGATTCAACAAATTAAATACTGTCGAAAAATAGACGCTGATTATAGTGCAACAATAAACCTTTTGGATAATTAATTAAATTTGCGTTGCACCGCATTTACTGATTTTACCGGTCCATTAAAACCGAAAATTACTTAAGTCATCTATTTGCCCATTTGCGTTGTGGATATAGTTGCATGAAGTTGCCACTGTTAACGGTCTTCGAAAAATCTGTAGTATATCAGTTGGAAATTATGCCAGTCTTTTGGAGCTGTTACCAAAGTGAACTCACGGGGGAGGACAGATACGAATGAGAAAAAAGTAAAGGCAGTAGAAAATTACGATGGTTGTTTATAGGATAGGTGAAAATGACTAATTTTTTATTCTCAGTATTTTATTTAAAACTATTTTTCAGCCCTTTCACTATTAATTTATTTTCTTTTTGTTCCACTTTAATCTTCGCTTTGTTTTTTTTATTCCCCTTCGCTCTTTCATTTTTTTCCCTCACTATTTTTTTGTCAGCAAAATAAAAGAGCTAAAGAGAGCCTTTTTTTGTTTGAATTAAACTTTGATTACTAATATCACCACATTTTTGAAAAAAGAAAAAAGAGAAAAAGAGGCTACTTTGAAAATTAATCGTATTTTGATATCCAACCATAAAGAACTCAAAAAGTAAAAGCTTTGTCTGACGGATAGACAAGCGATAGAGCGGACGGACAGTTGGACGGATGGATGACGATTGATGTTAATGGGAGTGGGAAAGGGGACAGAAGACGAAAAATGAGAATGAATAAACTATTGTCAAAGGAAAAATTACGCTTGAAAAAAAAAAGGTCCCCTTTTTTTGCACTCAACAGCTTTTGTTCTGCCTAAACGGTCAGCAGCAGAACAGGTTTAAACTTGCACTAGATTTTTTTCGTTTTTTTTTCCTGTTTTTCAGATTGAATTTCACACCAGTTTGTTCCTATGGTGTATCCCATAGATACATATTTTTACCAGTAGTTAAACAACATTGCCGGTGCTCTTGCTGTTAATACTAAATTAAGAGATTTTTTTACATTAAATACAGTGCACTCAAAAAAAGATTAGGTTTACTGTAAAATACAAAAAAAGGCAGTATTGGCACATTAATCAGCATTGTTCCTTTTCTTCCTTTTTTTTTTTTAGAAACCATGTAGCAGATTACTGTTTGAATTGTCAACACTGGAAAGCCAAATTCTATATTGGCATCAGATGACTCCTGAAAAAAATTTCAAAAAGTAAACAAAAAAAGTTACAAATTTTTTTTTTTACTTTTGTTGCAGCTGCAACTTTTTCTTCTGCTCGTTTCAGCCTCAAAACCAATGAATCATTTCTGATGAAGTGACGTGTACATCGGTTTACAGACAGAATAAAAATTTTAATGTTGATACAGTGGACATTCCCCTTACTGAGCTCCAAAAAAAAACGAACATAAACCTTTCCTCTTCATTTAATTGCAGAAAAAAACAGAATGATTGTAAAAGATTCATAGTTGTAACATAAATAAAATGCCGAATTTGTAGTTATATTTTTTCATTTCCACAGCATATTACCTCCGTCTTTGCTCCCTAAATCAAAACTTTCAATTCCTACAAAACTATTTGTTTGAATGTTGTAGCCGTCATCATTGTCACCAAATGACAAAGGAAAAAAGCAACGACAAAATGTATGCTTTTTTTCCTGTACTAAAAAAAATTTTCAAATTATAAAAAGAAAAATACATGTAAAAGCTCATTGGGTTGATGGGAAGTAAAAAAAAGGATCGTCTCTTTTCCCTTTTTCTTTTCTAAACATTATTTAAACCTGTATTTAAGTTGCATAAGAAAAAAGAGCTTATGTGGTTGAAAAGTGGAAACCTGTTGTTTACAGTTAAGCATCAACTTGTAGTGGAACACATTTTGGGTATATATGAAGAAAAAAATATATGTATATATACGTCAATACAAAAGACTTGGAGAATAGGGGTGGAACGGAGGGAACATGGCTAAGGGGACGACGGACAACGTCTATATATGTCTAATATCACAGCAAAAGCGTAGTAGAAGTGCAAAAAAATTGCGTATAAAAACAGCATATACTATAGGTACAACACCAATAAGTGTCTTTTTTTTCTTGTCATCGATATTGATCTATAAGAATATTCTAGTTTAGTTATTAGTATGGTCGGCGGCAGTCTTCTAAGGGAGTTCTGCTGCTACCGGTGCTATACATCAGTGAAAAACTACAACAAAACATTTTTTTACAATCCCATTCTCCCCTCCGTACCCAGCTTCCCATCCCTAATAGGCTTATTCAAATTAAAGATTTGACACATATACAGAGCAAAACCACTTCAAATTATGTTCAACTTTCAAATGCAGCTCTTTTTTTTTTTTGTTTATTTGTTCTTTAAAAAAAATCTATTGTTAGTAATTTCATCAGTAAAACAGCGGCAGGGAAGGGAAGTAATAAAAAAGATGATAAATTAGACGAAAACGAGGGTGTAATATGGTGCACAGGAGGGGGGAGGGGGGAGGGGGGACAAAAAAACAATATTTAGCCGTGTGAAAACACTAAAACGAAACTGTGATATGCAGAACTGAAATTCAACAAAACAAAAATTGCCAAAACTACAACGTGATATTTTAAATAAGATTTCAGATCAGTCAACTGACTTGTTGGCGTACAAAAAAATTAGGGTTTTACGAACTCTACAAAAACCTATAGAGGACAACATTACAGAAAACACTATTTGTGGATTCTTTAAAGCCTTAGGTGGTAAAATTATATCCAACATGTTTCAGGACTGATTCCCACCCAGAAGTCAAAGAGGTTTGCTCAGTGAATCATCATTTAATCTTCAGGAACTAGAATGCAAAACCAAATTTAATAGGTGACTTTCTCAGCAGTCAAAGCGCAATCATATTGTCTATTCACTTGTCTAAGGTGCAAAAGCTCCTGTTACTGTGGTACTTATTGCAGTAAGTGGTGCTAAAAGAACTCTTGAACTTACGCTAAACATAACTGAGATTTTATAGAAGGAGATCAAAATGAGCGTAAAATGAGTTTCTGTAACAAATAGTGTTGCCAACTATACCTTAAAAAGGCATCAAATACGTATATTTGAAAGTTGTTTTTCAAAAATTCCATTATTCCTTCTCAGTTCGTCGAACACTCTTCCGCCTTCTCTCCAAAGTTGCCTTGTCCTCTCTTGCATATCCAGCAACACTTCAGAATATGTGCATATACGTTGATTTTCCTACCATCAACGGCGATGACGACGACGACGACGACGACGACGACGACGACAGCAACAACAACAACGACAACGACACCGGCAACAGTCGAGTCAGAATAGCGTGCTGAAGAGAGCATAAAGACAGAAACAAATTTGAATGTCGTCGTAACTGTGCAGACGAATAGGTGGTTGAAGACTCGTAGAGATTTAGAAAAGATAAAAAGGAAAAAAACTTTATGGTATCAGAGAAGGAAAAAAAAATTGCTGAGAGAGGTTTCATGGGCACTGAGAGAAGAGGTGGGACAGAGGGCTTTTTTTCTTTGGGAGTGACATTGACGACAATCATGCCAATGTACGGTCGCAAAACTTTTTCCACCCAACACTTTTGACAACAAATTTCACTTGTGGAACCCTCCCGTACTTCCTCCTCTTCCTCCTCCTCCTTCTCTCCTCTGCTGTCCTCCCTCACGCCCTTTCCTCTTGCGCTTCATCCCCTATTTCCAGTACGTTCTCTTTTACACTGAAAGACGGGAAAGGACAACGAAATTTCTTTCTAAACTTCAAAAAATAAACTTTTTTTTCTTTTTGAAAATATGGACTGATATTTATCAATTGTTCATTAGTGTCGTCTAATGGGTAGATGTAAAAAAACAATATTGATGATTTTGTACTGTCAATTGGTTCTTCTGGACGATCAACAGTAGAAAACCAGCAGCAACAGTAGCGGTGGCTGCTGTTCCACCTGTCAAATAATATATTCACAACTTTAATTGGTCAACTTTGAGTTTCACCTTTTTCAAACATAAAACTAAAGCTTCATTTTCTTCTTTTATCTGCGTATCAAATGTTACAAATGATGGCTGCTGTATAATGATCACTTTCCAAACAGGTGTTGTTGATTCAAAAAAGAAAAAAAAACAAAAAAAAAGAAACAAAAAACAGATTTTGTTTTTTTTTTTCTTCTCTTCTGTCGTGTTCTTTTTGATTGAACATTAATTATTGGAACGTTATAATTTGGTAACAACCAAAACTTCTCTGTATATTTTCCTTTTTTGTTTGTTTACAGAATTTTTATTGTTTTTATCAGCTGTATTCAGAGAATTTTTCACACCCGTAAAAGTTGCTAACCTATTGTAGTTTCTCCTCAGTCGGCTGGAAAAAATTTTTTTTATAGTTGAAAGACAGTTAAGGAAAGGGAAAAATTTAATTTTTATTGCAATTGTAAATTGTTGTACAGAGAAATTTGTCATTTTTTTCTTTCTTCTTTTATAGCTTCACCAAAGAGGAATCTGGTGGCCGACTGTTTGTTTCTTATCGCTTTTGAATAGACTTTATCAAAGTGCCTCCGATCAGATTTTTTTCTCCTCCAAATATTTAATAATTGTAGTTTATTTGGGAAAAAAATTACATAGATATGTTTAAGTTTTTTGTTGCATCTTTTTAATCAATCAATTGTGAATGTCAAAGGAGAAAAAAAAAGGAAGAAAAATGAATTAAAATTTAGAGAAGTAACGAATAGACGACATAAATTAGAAATCGTTTTTTTTTTCTGTATTTTATTGATAGTATCAAAACGGTATTTGCCTTTTGGAAAATCACACTTGTTTAATGGCAACTGCAGCTGTAAATTTTACGTTTGTCATATTACATTTGCATACAGTTGCTGTAAACCATAGTTATATAATAATCAATGTTTTTCTTTTTGTTCATAAACGTATCAGTGGTCAATGGTTAACGTAATTAGAATAAATGGTAAAAATTAAGAAGCCAAAAAAAAAAAAAACACGTGATTTGAAATGAAAAGTATTTTAAAAAATGACCTCTGTTTACATGTGCAAAATTTTGCAAAGAAAACATTTTTACCCTTCGTTTTTTTCCCCGTTTTTTTTTCCAGGATGAACTTTCAACTATCGCCTTATATATGTAAGCAAAATTAATGATACAGTTTGGCTGCAGTATTTTCTGTACCCAATTATAGTGACTAAACTCTGCAGGGCAACAACTGTTGAAAAAGGATAAAAAATCTTTTGTTGTTGTTTTTTCGTTTTTTTTTTTTTTTGTTTGTTTCTAACTTTTGTTCGATATTATTCTGTTAATAGGTGGAACAGTTTTGAAATTTAGAAATACCTAAGAAGCTAAGCAAACTGCTGTCATGATTGATTCAGCAGGAATCCAATAGAAGGCTTCCAAATGCCAGAAGTGATTGGAAGGGCATTGAATGTTGTGTTGTTGTTATCTTTGTTATCTTTATTGTTAATACTGTTTGTTTGTTGGTTGGGTAAGCAAAACGGAGATGACAGATATTGTGGCAGCTAAAAAATTTTCGATGAAATAATTTGTTAAACTTTTTTTTTTGCAGTATGTTTTTCCTGGATGCATTCCTAAAGGGACTTAAACCCCAGTTCGATGACGATGCCGTTGATAGGCTTAATTACTATTATACGCCTTTACTGCTTGCTATTTTTGCTTTAACACTTAGTGCTAAACAGTAAGTTATTTGGCATTCACGGAAAAAAAGAAGCAATTATCATACTTTTGTTTTTTTATCTAAAAAAATATTTTATATTAGCTTATTCTCAATTAGTAGTAGTTTAATCGTCATTTGTTAAGATATGTTGGACAACCAATACAGTGTTGGGTACCGGCACAGTTTACTGGTTAGTTTTAACTTGTAGCATTTTTCACTTTTATTCTCTACTGCTGGTCTCTTGTTGTTTCGGATGAGCTGTATTTCTTGAATGATAGGTTAAAAAACTGACAGGCCTCTGCGTCCAACAATTACCTTTCGTGCAGTTTTGAAAAAATCTGAAAATAAAATCGCTGTTAAGGTGCTTGGGAACAATATAGTGAAAACTATTGTTTTGTTAAAAATACCTACTTTTTGCCACTGAATCATTATATACCACAAGATATCAAGGAGAGAGAAGACCGCGAAATAGGTTGGTTTATTAGATTTTTGTAACAAATAGGCATTAAAGTGTTATTATTTTCGTCAACAGTTACTCAAATTTTATGACTGTAGTTGTAGCGCAACATAAAGATCTTAGGTTCATGAAATCTCCGTGTTATTAAAGAGCGTTTTTAAAGTGAAGGAGGAACGTTTGTGTTTCAAGTTTTGTTTGAGACTGAAGAATCATTGTTGAATGTTTATTGAAATTTTATGAAGATTGTGATAACTGTCATGAAGTGTTGAAGTTGTTCAGGTTATTACCAGTGGGTACCCTTTATCCTTGGACTCCAAGGAATTTTATTCTATCTTCCGTGCTTACTATGGAGGCTTTTAAACTGGCAGTCGGGTATACCACTCATATTATAAATTCTAGTTTGATAAGTTTGTTCTAAAAGAAAAGTTCATTTTTAACCAGAAAAAAAAATGTTGGAACTACGCTTAAAAATATTCATATTGTAGTTTTAATTTTCTTAATGTCTAAAATTGTTGAGGAAGATTCCTAGCTAAAAACATTAATTTTAGGAATTGCGGTAAAAGGAATAGTGAATATGTCTCAGGATGTTCACAATATGCAAACTGAGAAGAGGAACGAATCCGTTACTGTTGTGGCAACACATCTATACGACTCTCTTAAAACACAAAGGAATTTAGCTCGACGTGGACCTTTAACATTTCTGTTACAGAAGGTTTTTTCTTATATACGGAAAAATTTTAAGCATCAGTAAATGCTGTTTTTGATTCTTGTTAAGCCTTCTCCCAAATTTGTGTTGCTTAGTTGTAGACTTAACTTACAGTTAACTTATTTGTTTGCCTATACTAATATGACAACTATAATTTCAGGGCACTTATTTAACAGTGTTATATCTATTTGTCAAGTTTGTCTACGTTATACAAGCAATTGCACAATTTGCATTACTCAACAATTTCTTGGGAACCAGTTATACATTTTGGGGTTTTGAAATTTTACGCGATTTAATGTCTGGAAGGGAATGGGAAGAATCTGGACATTTTCCTCGGTAAGTAATCAGCAGTTTATCAATGTCAAACAAAAAAATTTGCCGTCCAACAGTTATATTCATTATCAGCCGAACTGCATTAGTATAAAGTTTTATTTAAAGTGTTCGTTGAGAACCTAACATTACCGCCTAATCCTTTTAGAGTAACAATGTGCGACTTTGATGTTCGCGTTTTGGGTAACCGACATAGACACACTGTGCAATGTGTGTTGATGATCAATATGTTTCATGAAAAGGTATGCTCTTTCTACTTTAGTATACGCTTCCGGCTTAATACTCGCCGTTTAGCTAAATGAATTTTTTTTAGGTTTACCTTTTCTTGTGGTGGTGGATTCTTTTGGTTATTATAGTAACAGTAGGATCGTTCCTTTACTGGCTGGAAATGAGTGTACTAAGTTCTCAGCACCGGTCTTTCATATCACAGTATCTACGAGTTTACAACCTTGTTGACTCAGACAGTACGTGTTTCAAGCATATACCAATCACTATGCTAAGGACTGTAACACAAAGTCATCTATATTAAGAGATCTTAATGAATTATTTTTTCACTTACATTTACTGATAACCCACTATAAATGCTTCTAAATTTCTTGAAGCTTCAAGTTTGCTATTTAGGGAACCCTGCTGTGGACAAGTTTCTACACCGAACATTAAGGAATGATGGTGTTTTCTTACTAAGATTGGTATCAGCAAATGCCGGCGACTTAATAACAACTGACATTGTTCTCCGATTGTGGAAAATGTTTCTTGACGAAGAAAAATCTCGAGCAGTTCCTCCGCCATCACTAACTGAACCAGCGGAAAAATTTAATGGTGGCGACCAAGAATTCCAGGAATACCCTTATAACCCAGAAAAGCGTTTACTCTCATAACGGAGCCCTGCTGCTGGTGATTTTTATTTCTGACAGGAAGAAAAATCGTAGTAGAAGTCAATTTTTGAAGAACATTAGACAGGAGTTGTTCAATTTTTTTGCAAAATATTTGCTTAATATGCCAAGCAAGAGATTTTTATATTAAAGAATTCATGACCCCACTATGTACAATGAAAAATTAAATAATGGTGTTTATTTATGTTAAAGCTCAATGTTGAAAATATATTATAACAAGTTACCTTCTACTGTCAACTGTACACAGGACAAAGTTATATTTTTCCAAGATCGCCACTACGACTATCACAGCTAGTTAAGTCAAATTTCTGAAAAAAACCTGTAAAATGCAAATATGCGAGATTAAATTAAATATACAGATTACATGAAATAATGCGTCAGCCATAATGACAAAACTTTAGTAGAAAAATTATCCGCATTTTAGATGCGGGTTAGAAAATTGAAAACAATGCTAAAAGTTTTAGAAAACAATCACATCGATGTAGCACGAACTAAAATATGCTGAAATGGAACGAAAAGCTGCATTTACAAGCATTTTACAGCGCGAAACAACGTTTTTAAAGTTTTTTGACTATTTATTGGACTTCTTGAACCGCAGTCCACGCCATCTCTTTCTCTTTGACGAAGCAGAAACATGCCCACGAACGTAACATCTTTTCTTCATATTCAAACGAACGTAGTTAGCTTTAGGCTTTGTGGGAGCTTTCCTCCTCTTTGGTTTTTTACCGTCTTCATTGCTGTTTCCTTTCCCAAGACCATTAGTTGAGGGCTAAAATTGAAATCTTCAATTGAGAAAAGTCTCCACAATTTTACACAATGGTTAATAAAATTCCAATTGGCTGCAAGTAGCAAGGTACGTCTCAGTTACGAAAGTTTCAGTTTAAAAATAATTCAAATCCAGATGTTACTTTAATGTCGGCTTTTAATAGAAATTAGTAACTCTTCAAAAATTCTACATTGAAACCTAAAAAAATATTCGACCTCAAAGTGTAAAGGAGATGAATTCCAAATATTATATTCAACCTTTTTTATATAATAAAGGTTACCTGCTGCTCTTCTGATACCTGCGTATTTTCAAACGGCTCAGTACGCTCGTCAAGGCACTGGTTCAATAAAGCTGCATCATCAGCATTTAACTCTTCAGGATGCTGAAATACGCAGTCTTGAAAGGAATGCAACTTTAACACTGTAATCGTTTTACTCCATTATAACATAAAAAGTGGGTCCTACATCTTTTATTTTGTGAAAGAAAACATCTATCACAGCGTTTCCCAAAAGCAGAGCCACAAAAGTAGTTAATGGAAACTAACTGGGTCTTCTCTATCAACTTCATTTTCATACACAAGACTTCCTATTCGTTCAAAATCTTCAGATCTCGACCACTGGACAGGCTTCAAGGGAGATCGCTGAGAGGAATCATTTGCTGAAAACTTTGGGCGTTTACAGAGCGACGCGTGAAGTAGGGTTTCAAGTTCGATATCTAAAAGAAATAAACAGTTAGAACAGTAATGATCAATAAAACTTTCGCTAGAAGCAATGAATAGGGAGACGTTACCTGAAAAACAGCTCTTTTTCATAGGACTAATTACAGAAACAGGAACTACTTGTTTCACTTGTTTTACCGGTGAGCGACATGGAGACTTTTTCGCAGCGTCAAACAGTTTTCTTTTCCTTGATTTATTTTGCTGAAAATAAAATTTCTGATGTGAATTAAAGAGAAATGTGAACTTGTTATCCAAAAATTCTAACCAAAAAAGGATCTTCAAAATTCGGGCGCTTGACTTTTACAGGAGTTCTAACGTATTTCTTTCTAGGTGACCTCCTCAAGTTCTCCGGCAATTTTTCTGCAACAAAAAAATAAACCGTAATTTTGCAAGTGAACCTCTTCCTAGACTTCTTTTCCAAGAACCCTTTACAAGCA